ATATATATATATATATATTATTTTAGTTATATATTATATGATAATTTTTAACGATATTTATAAATATAAATTATTCTAACAAATATTTTAACAATATTTCCTCTTTTAAAAAATAAGCTAATGAAGACATAAATTCTAAACCCTAAAAAATTAGATACTGCAACGTTTTATGTTAATTTTCTCTTTTAAAATATAAAAAAGTCCTAATTTCACAATATAAAAAGAAAAAGAAAAATTCATAGTAAAAAAAATAAAATAATTGTTGAGTCATAAAAGGAGGAGAATAAGAGTAACAAACTTAAGGGAAGAAGATAAATCGCAATTTTTATGCTAAGAGGGTTCTTCCCCCAATTAAGATCAATTTTCATCTCATTTTACTCACAGAAACCCTAACAAATTCATCTTTTATATATATATATATATATATATATATATATATATATATGACATTATGCTGTAGCTATATTTGACCCAAACACAATAGTATTTCTCGATTAACTTATTTAAAATGTGCCTTTTTCTCATACCAACTCATTGGAAGGCACACGCCCAATGCACTTTCACTCTTCAGCACTTTGGCCACCTCAGCAAACTTCTCAGGAAACACTTAAAAAAGTAAAATAAAATTGAAATAAATTTTTCCATCTACTAAAATTAATTTTATGTATAAGAATGTATTTATAAAATTAACTTATAAACAAAAAACTAATGAAGTATAAGCTGAAAGATGAAAAACTAAAAATTTATAAATCAACCAATTAAATTAAAAAGTGTTTGATAAGATTAGTTGGATAAGCTAGTTAATAAATGTAAAATGACATAAAATAATTTTTTTAAAAGAATGAAAAAATGATAAGATTGACCAAAATATATTTTAAATCAAAAAGAACAATTAAGAATTTCAACTAAATTAATGAGGGTAAAAAAAGAGAAAGAAAAAAAAAAGTTAAAAGTTTAGGACTTATAGGCTATTTTAATTAGTTTATAAAAATAAGTTATAAGCTTCTAAAATAAACTTGTATAAACTCTTATATCAAACATTCTTAAAAGCTAGTACAAGGAGTTTATAAGTTCTTGAAATGTCTTACTAAACACAATCTAAGTTAAAAAAATACAATAAGAATTATGAAAGTTTATAAGAAAAAATTTATTTAAATTAACTTATGTATAAATTAATTTTGATTTATAAAAAAATAATATAATTTTTT